GTCCTTGACCTAGGCTACATCCTGAGTCTTACCAAATGAGGGAAAAAATATGGAATATACCATACTCTAGAACTAGCAGACTAAGCTAAGACTTTGTATGATCTCCAAAAACATGAACTATTAATATTTAATGTTGTTCTAAATACATTGGTGAACATTAGTCTCTTTCATACAACTTCTCCAATTGTCAGCCGTTTTCATTCTTACATAAGAAAAGACACACATTTATACTTAATGAGCATTTAAAAAAAAAAAAACCTGAACCTTCTGAACTAGATCATCTTTTCAGGAGAGGCTCAGCCCATAGACTAATTTGAAATGCCAATCCCATCTGCAAACCTCAGCAAGAGCTGCAGTTAATATTAATTAAGAGCAGAAACAGGTTTGTTCTTGAATATCTTTTCTCTCAAGTCCAGGATGCTTCCAAGTGGAAACTTTCCAATTTCCCTACACTTGAGATAGTAGATCCAGTACAAACCTTAAAACAGGATCCTCACACCTTTCAGAGGGAGGTTTCAGTAACTGATCACTCAACAAATGAAGGTACCACTAAATATAAATGGGGGGGGTGTTTGTTTTGGGCTACACCATGCAGCATGAGGGATTTTCATTGCCGACCAGGGATTGAACCTGCACCCCCTGCAGTGGAAGTGGGAGCATGGAGTTTCAAGCACTGAACTGCCAGGGAAGTCCCAAGGTTTAGGGACAGTGGTTTTTGGTATTTATTTTCTTTACTTATTTGGCTGTGCCAGGTCTTCAGGCTTTTAGTTGAGGCATGTGGGATTTTTTTTTTTTTTTTCTTTTTTTTAGTTTCAGCATTCGGACTCTGTGGCTCACACCATAAAGAATCTGCCCACAGTGCGGGAGATTCGGGTTCGATCCTGGGTCGGGAAGATGCCCTGTGGAAGGGAATGGCAATCCTCTTTAGTATTTTTGCCTAGAGAATTCCATGGACAGAAGAGCCTGGTGGGCTATAGCCCATGGGGTCACAAAGAGTCGAACACAACTGAGTTACTAACACACATTCATGAACCCTGATCAGAGTTCAAACCCAGGCTCTCTGCGATGGGATCACAGTCTTAGTGTAACCACAGGCCTTCTCCTATATCCTCTGCTTTAGCTCCTCTCTGAAGTACCTAGATAATAGTATTTGATGCAAATTTCCTGAGTTACTTTGCAGATACGAAACCCCACTCCACCAAATGGAAGAACTACTTGGGGACCATGAGCACATAGCCCCAAGCCTCCCGGAGCCTAAGGACAAATAAGGTTAACCCCTGTGACACCACTCTGCTGCCTCACCATCAGCCAGTCAGAGAATTGTGCACTGGCTGATCCTGTACCCTCAGCTGCCCTTAAAAAATGCTTTGCAAAAACCCTTTTGGAAGCCCCAGGATTTTCAGGGCATAAGCCACCTCCTAGCAAGGACTCGAAATACACCTATCTTCCCTCCAAACTCTGATGTTTCAGTTTGGCCTCACTGCACAATTTGGCACATGAACTTGCATTAACATTAGCCACTGGACTACCAGGAAGTCCCAAATTTTAATAGAACTCTATTGAGTGCCAGCTCTGTGTGTGTGTGTGTGTACGCGCACATGCACACACACACACATTCATGCATATGTATGCAAACACACACACAAAAGCTAACATTTTTTATGACAGTATCCCAGCTTCTGGCAACTTAAGAGAACTCTCCCATCTATTTACTCATTCAGTATGCTAAAAAAAAAAACAAAAGCCAAAAATTTGGGGGTGGGTCTTCAAATAAGATATTTGATAAGTCTCAGCCTGCAGAGCTTCAGGCAGAGCCAACAGGTGACAGACATCACAAAGCTCATCTGAGATCCATAGTAAACACAAACTTTTATCACAAATCAGAGTTAATTAAGCAGAATGGACTTAATCGCTAAAGGCTGTTTGACTCTTCTGGGAAAGATGTAGATAGAATTTATGACCGTGTCTTCATCAGACTTGTTGAACTCCTTTTGTTCATTAGGCAATTTGTCAGATCTATCCTTTAAGTCTCTCAGTGGCAACTGGAATATGGTGAAGGTAGAAAAAAATACTGCTATAGCCCCCGGCACCTAGAACACTGACATATAGCAGGTATTCAGTAAGTATCTACTGGATAAATCAGAATACATTTGCTGCACTGCATCAGAAGTGTATGTGACAGCAGCAATAGAATTCACAAGCTATGTGCAGAGGAAAGAGATGCATTTTGCCAGGGTAGGTGAGGGAAAATTGCCCAAATGCAATGAGTCGTTTCCTGGAAGAGCAGCTTTTCACCAGGGAGTAACTGCAGGAAAACCATGTGGACAGGAGTATGCCCCAATCCTGCAGGCTGCAGCAGACGGCCTGAGCTACTTTCCATTTCAAATTCTTACCAAGGTTTTACTTCCTGGGATTTTGCTGCACTTCAGCATCTCCTTCAAACCTTCAACTATAAAGGGGTGCCTACAGAGTGGTCATTGTGCTTCTCTGCCAGGAAATTAGTGAAAAGCAAACAGCAAGTAACAGAAAAATTAATGCTGCGGAATGTTTTCTTATTTACCAGGCAATGAGCCTGTTAAGACTCTTATACCTTCTGAGAAAAATAACCCAAGAACACCCTCCAAGTCCACTAGAAACAGGCCACTTTCAAAACAATCATTGTCCTTTATTTGTCCTCTTCTTCTTTCTGATAGTGCTTTTGTTTTTGGGGGGTTTTTGGCCCCACAACACAGTGGATCCCAGTTCCCTGACAAGGGATCGAACTTGCATCCCCTACACTGGAGGCACGGAGTCTTAACCATTGGACCGCCTAGGAAGTTCATTCTTGATTAAGTTTTTTTAATTGATTCATGCATAAACTACTTGATTCCCAAGAGAAAAAGATCATTTAAACATTGCAGAGTCACTTTTTACTCCAGGGAGAAAACACTGGCAGGGAAATGAAGGCACTTGAAAGAGAACTGAGACTAAAATTCTGAACAAAGGAAAGATAAAATGAACAAAATAAGGGAAAACAGCAAGTGGAAAAGTTTTCAAACCCCCTAAAAAAGTGCAGAAACAAGCGACTTCCCATCACATCCTCTTCAAAAAAGCAGAGTGGGCTTCTCTGGTGGCTTAGTGATGGAGAATTCTCCTGCCTGTGCAGGAGACATGGGTTCAATTCCTGATCCAGGAGAATTCTAAAAGGCAAGGAGCAACCAAACCCATATACCACAACTATTGAGCCAGCGCTCTAGAGCCAGGGAATGGCAGTTACCTTAAGCCCGGGCGTCCTAGAGCCAGCGCTCTGCAACTAGAGAAGCCACCCAGATGAGAAGGCTGAGTAGACCCCACCCTCTAGAGAGTAGACCCCACCCTCTGTAACTAGAGAAAAGCCCAAGCAGCAAGGACGAACCAGCAGAGCCAAAAAAATTAAGTAAATCATCTTTTTTAAAAGGAAAGAGCCACTAATCCAGCCCCAGGATGGATGGTGCAAAGCCTTCATGCCAGAAGGAGGCAAGTTAGCGAGTCAGGCACAGAGAAGGCAGAAAAATGGGCTCAAAGCCACCCAGCAGTTTCCTCACCTCATTACACCCACTGAGAAGCCCCACCCGACCACAAAAACCCACCTGGCCACAAAAACCTTGCCTTGAGCCAGCCTACCCTCTCACAGTTCTCTCCCCCACCCAAACTGCATTCCAAGCAGGGAAGGAGTAAAATGCATTTGAATGTGGTATTCAAATTAAAATAGACCAGTTGTGGTAACAATACCTGCAAGAGAAAATTCCAGGTGCAATCAGGTATAGAGGACGCAGCCTTCTGAATGTTGAAGGGTGGGGAACAGGATTATTGAAAATCAAAAGAAAAGTTTGCTCTTAAAACCTGCTTTAAGAAATAAGGAGTAAAACTCTGCCTTTGAGATACTTCTTAATTCCCCGCCGCTTTCAGGCTTTCTGTTTTCCAAGCACCGTCCTCCACCCACCTCTGTCAAACTAATCTGTGCTTCTGTAATGAAGATACAGTACAGGTTATAACCATCTAGGACCAGATGAGAACACAAAGACAGAGTGAAGCATCCCGTTCGCAATAACAAGTTTTCATAAATGACTTGCTAATTGTGAGCATCTGCATCCCGGAAGGGCCAACTACCTCCTCTCGCCTTTTAACGCCAACTCATGATGAACTCGTGGGAACGCGGGGTGAGAGGAGAGGGGAGAAGGGCCGCACGGACAGGCTAAGGAGAGCAGGCGACCTGTAGCCCCAAATTCACCACGCAAGCCAAGCGAGGCATTCTCAAGAAGCCATTTCCAGGGAGGCTGGATTCAAACTGTAATTTGTCAAATCAAGTCTCCTCGTCTCCTAATGCTCAGGCCCCGGCTTGAGGAGGAGGGGGAGTTAGTGGTGAGAGTTTACCTTAGAAGGCGGCAGGGAACAGACGGGCCTTTCAAAGCCACCCAGGGCTCTGCCCAGAGGCCCCGGGAGGCGTGGAGGGGCTGGAGCGGCGAGCGGCTGCGAGCCCCGCGGCGCCACAGGTTCCCCAGCGCGCGGCCGGGCCCGACTCCCACAGGTGGGCGGCGCTCGGCCCGGGGGGCTCGGGCGAGAGGAGGGGATGCTACGGGTCACCAGGGACGCGGTGAACCGGTGGGAGACGGCCAAGCGGTGGGGTGGCTTGGCCTTAAGGAAGCCGGGCGAGAGGGAAGCTCGGGGTTTTCAGCTCCCGCGATCTGCTGGCTGGTGACCCGCTTTTCGCCAAGGCAAGAGCAGCCCCCCGGGGAGGGGGGGGGGCGTCTCGCACCCCTCCCACCCTCCGCCCAGCAAGCCTCGGCCTCCTCCCGGGCGCGGTTAAGCCGCACGGCCGCGGGCCACCAGCTGCATGCGCCCCGGCACGTAGGAGCCTGCACGACCACATGGGGGCGGGGGAAGGGCGCCCGGGGACCGAAGAGACTCAGCCCCTGGCTGGCCCTTCGCCTCCCAGCCTCACCCGATCCCGCGTCCGCTCACTCGCCCCCGCTCCCTCTCACCCGTGTTGGCCTTGATGTTCTCCCGCAAGAAGTGGCCGCTGGAGAGATGCTGGAGGCCAAAGTTCTGGGCTATCCTCTGGCACACGGTGCCCTTGCCTGAGCCTGGCGGCCCAAGGATGACCGCACGCAGGAGTTTGGAAGCCATTGCCTCGCCGAGGAGGGGGAGGCCGAACTGACGACCCGGACAGCGGCCTCGGAGAAGCCCCGGGAACTTTGTTTCTTCTGCCCCTGCCTCTGACACCCTGGGCTCGCGCGGGGATTCGCCGCCGCCCCTGCAGGGGAAGGAGAGACTTTTTGAGACAACCCCTCCCCTCCGCCCCGCGCCTGGGCGGCACGAGGGCGGAGTAAGCGCCACGCTACACCTCCCAGCCCTCAACGCCCCCACTCTGCGATCCCGGAGAACTCCCGAGCGCCCGCGCCTGGCGGGGGTAGCCCTCGGGAGCTCGTAGCTGGATCAGCCCGGCCAGGCCCAACCTCAATCCTTTCCTAGATCTCGCGCCCCACGCCCAGTCCGAGGAAGGGGTCGGGCATCCCCACACCAGTCTCCACGGAGTGAGACAGCCGGAACAGGCTGTGACTCCAAGCGCGCCTCCAGTAGCCCCACGCCGCGGCGGCCTGGGGGCTGAGCCCCAACCCGGGTCCCCGCACGTGGGCAGCGTTTGGTCCGCGCCTCCGCCTCTCCCCGGCGGCTGTCACGTCCCCGGGAGTCGCAGCGGCCGCCTCCGCAGAGGTCTGAGGGATGCTCTCCTCGCCGTGAGGAGCCAGAGTCTGGCGCCTCTCCACCCAGAGAAGTCAAGTAAACACACACCTTGGCCGGGACGCGGCCCTCCGCGAGGCTTCTAGCCCGGATCCCGCTGGGCGGCGCCCACTCGGAGCCCCGGCCGGCCGCGCGGGGCTCGCGCCTTACGTAAGCCGGGAGACCGGCTCCGCGCTAGCCGCCCGCCTGCGCTCCCCACCCAGCCCCAGCCCTGCCGCTCCGCTCCCACCCGTCTCCTCCGCGCTCTTGCTCCCCGAGACCCCGTGGGGCCCGCGGGGCAGAAGGAACGTGGAGAAGACGCACGCGCCAGAAACCCCTCTTTTGCGGTAGGGTAGGGAGCCGGTCTCCTGTGGAAAGGAAGGAAAAATACAACTTGTTGAGTGCCTACTGTGCGTCAGTTTAGGAGCTAGGCTATTTCCTTGAAGCAACAACCGTTCCAGGTAGGGCATGCTCAACGGAGGAAAAAGGAGGCTTGGAGTACGGCCCTTCATTCATTGAGTCATTCATTCAACAAAGGTTTATTGAGCGCCTACTATGTGCCAGACACTCTTAGTCCCTCAGCATATAGCTGCGAACCAGAGATGGACTCCTACTCTGTGGAAGTTAAATTTCAGCGGGACTTTTGAACTCTCATTTGCACGACGCCAAAGCGCAGGCTTCTTGAATTAGAAGGAAAAGGGCGGGGGGAGGGGGGAGGAGTTAGGAATGATCCAGCGCTCAGAATCTCAGACTGGTTCCAGAACTTAAGAAGCCAGGGCGTTGGCACTAAATTAACAACTCAGCCCCAATGGATGCTATCTTCTCCCTCGCCTCCCCTCTCCTCGCATCCCAATATCCCAATCCATATTCTCTTTAAATCTGTTCCCGCCCCCCACACAGCCTTCATATCCCACTCGGACTTAGAGTGATAACCGCCTGCCCACAAGTCTCAAGCTTCCGGCGGTCCATCTGTGTGATGCAGCTACCAGAGATACTGCTAAAGTGCGAATCAATTTCCATTATTTCCTCACCTCAGATATTATCGACCCTTCAGCATAAAGGAAAAAAAAAAATCGTCAGCAGGGGCACACAGGTGCCTTCCACACACCTCTGCCATCCTTCCACGGGCCTTCTGTCTCCTGCCATTGCGGAATCCCCTGCAGGATTCTGAGCACCCCCACACGTGGCTCCCCGGTTCTGGAGCGACTGTGTGAAGAAGAGCCTTCTCTAGCTTCCTGGCTGTTCTGTCTGTGTTGGGGGCTGAGGAGGGGGTGAGAGAGACTGGCGTGGGATCCCAGGTCCCAGCCCTTCTCCTCCACACACTGATAGCCAATCAGAGCCTAGTGTCTTGCTACCCAGGAGTACCCCCAGGTTGCCAATCCCCCGCCGCCAACCCCAGGCCAGTATTTGTTCCAAAGTCCCCTTCCCCTGTCAAAACTATCTCAGTAATTTCCCTGGTGGTCCAGTGTTTAAGAATCCGCCTAATGCAGGTAGTCACAGGTTCGATCCCGGATGGGGGAAGATGCCACATGCCCTGGAGAAACTAAGCTCATGTACCACAAGTACTGAGCCCAGCACTGCAACTGAGTAACTCCTGCTCCCTGCAACTAAAGAAAGCCCCAGCAAGGCAATGGAGACCCAGTGCAGCCAAGAATAAATTAAAAATTAAAAACTAGCTCAGTGTTCTGTGGACCTCAGAGAGTTGTTACATAGAACCCTTTTAGCCCTTCTCCTGGAAGCAAAGAGGGGAAAGAGCCTCTCGGGTTTTGGAGGGGATGACAACTCTCCCCTCTTCTTCCTGCAGTGTGCCCTATAATATGCAGCAGACACTCTGCAGTCCTTCTCCATCCCAAGCACGCATCACAATGATGCAGAAGGCCTGTCAAAACCGACTGCTGATCCTTACCCTCAAAGTCCCTGATTCTGGACATTTCTAACAAGTTCCCAAGTAGAGCTGGGGCTGCCTATCTCGAGAGCTCACTTTGAAAACCACTGCTCTTGGGAAATCAGTATTCAGACACATGTGGTCTGGATTCCCCCACCTGCTGTGGGATCTTTGGCCCTTAACCTCTTTCTAAAATGAGATTGGATTTAGCTGGAGCCAGAGGTCCCTTTGTATTTACCAAGAATTGATTCAACAAGTTGCCACAGGAAAGGCAGCTTCTAACCCCCACAAACTAGATGTAGATAGCTTACCTTGCCATCTCACCCAGTTCTTTTGCCTAGTTTTGAAATGTCTTCACCAACATCACTTTATGGTGTCAGGCAGCTCTATTAGCCACCCCCATAGCCCTAGAACTTGATGTTTTAAGAGTTTAGGAACATATTATGAAGCAAAAAAGGAGTTGTGACATAGGTAAGCTCAAGAAAAGCCTGGCTGAGATGAGAACCTAACATTTCACAAGAGCCCTAATGGACCTTTCATGTATACAGCCATCCTCAGGGTCCCACAACTCAGCTGCTGATTGAAAGCAGTAGAACTGGAAGAAATGGGCTTGGGAGTCAAATACCCTAGGATTCAATTGCAGCAGCACCATTCACCAACTCTTCAAGCTCTTGATGTCTGTGAGCCTTAGTTTGCTCATCTGTAAAAGGGAAATAGTACTTATCTCACAGGTGGTAATAAGGTTTAAATGAGATAATGTATGTGAGAATTTAGCACAGGACTGGGCATATGAGTACGTCAAGGCTGTATATTGTCACCCTGCTTATTTAACTTCTACGCAGAGTACATCATGAGAAATGCTGGGCTGGAAGAAGCAGAAGCTGGAATCAAGATTGCCGGGAGAAATATCGATAACCTCAGATATGCAAATGACACCACCCTTATAGCAGAAAGTGAAGAGAAACTAAAAAGCCTCTTGATGAAAGTGAAAGAGGAGAGTGAAAAAGTTGGCTTAAAGCTCAACATTCAGAAAACTAAGATCATGGCATCTGGTCCCATCACTTCATGGGAAATAGATGGGGAAACAGTGGAAACAGTGTCAGACTTTATTTTTGGGGGCTCCAAAATCACTGCAGATGGTGATTGCAGCCATGAAATTAAAAGACGCTTACTCCTTGGAAGGAAAGTTATGACCAACCTAGATAGCATATTAAAAAGCAGAGACATTACTTTGCCAACAAAGGTCCGTCTAGTCAAGGCTATGGTTTTTCCAGTGGTCATGTATGGATGTGAGAGTTGGACTGTGAAGAAAACTGAGCACCGAAGAATTGATGCTTTTGAACTGTGGTGTTGGAGAAGACTCTTGAGAGTCCCTTGGACAGCAAAGAGATCAAACCAGTCAATCCTAAAGGAAATCAGTCTGAATATTCACTGGAAGGACTGATGCTGAAGCTGAAGCTACAATATGTTGGCCACCTGATGGAAAGAACTGGCTCATTGGAAAATCGGAGAAGGCAATGGCACCCCACTCCAATATTCTTGCCTAGAAAATCCCATGGACAGAGGAGCCTGGTGGGCTGCAGTCCATGGGGTCACTAAGAGTCACATAGGACTGAGAGACTTCACTTTCACTTTTCATTTTCATGCGCTGGAGAAGGAAGTGGCAACGCACTCCAGTGTTCTTGCTTGGAGAATCCCAGGGACGGGGGAGCCTGGTGGGCTGCCGTCTCTGGGGTCACACAGAGTCGGACATGACTGAAGCGACTTAGCAGCAGCAGCAGCAGCATTGGAAAATATCCTGATGCTGAGAAAGATTGAATATAGGAGAAGGGGACTACAGAGGATGAGATGGTTGGATGGCATCACTGACTCTATATATATGAGTTTGAGCAAGCTCTGGGACTTGGTGATGGCCAGGGAAGCCTGGAGTGCAGCAGTCCATGGGGTCACAAAGAGTTGGAAAAAACTGAGCAACTGAACAGAACTGAACTGATGACAAAGTACCTAGCAGGCTTCCTGGCCCTGGCAAGCTGTTCTGTAATGGTAGCTGTTCTTACACAAACACTCATGTAATTGGCTTCTTCTTTAAGTCCATCTGTAATATGTATGACAGTCTATAAATAATTCACATCTATGTGTTAGTCTGTAGACAAACTGTAAACTCTGAAGACTGAAGCCAAATTGAATTCATTTTTCTACTTTCAAAAATGTACAGCACTGGACTTCCCTGGTGGTCCAGTGGTTAAAACTTCATGCTTCCACTGCAGGAGGCATAAGTTCGATCCCTCATCGGGGAGTATCCTGCATGCCACATGGTACAGCCAAAAGAAATGATATAGATAGATAGAGAGTCCTTTGCCCATAGTAAGTAATCTGTAAAAGTTGGCAAATCTCACCACCACCACCCCTCCCCATCCTAACACACTCACCATCAAGCTGCATGGCCTCTCTGCAACTTTCTATAATACAAAGACTATGTTTGTTCATACTTTACACTTCCTTCATCAGATTCTCACAAGCTTGCAAAAAAGATTGAGCAGAGATTCTCATTCCTATTTTACAAATGAGAAAACCAAGGTTCTGAGAGGTGAGGTGAACTGCCCAAGATCACAGAACTAGCTGGTGACATGGTGGGGTCCAAACCCAGATTTTCTCATTCTAGGCATAGTGCTCTTATTTACTAAACTTCAGTCATTTCCACACTACTTTCACAATTTTGCCATAATCTTCTAACATCTTGGCTCTAATCTGCTTATCATGTTTCTTTATATCGACTCAATTTGTTTAAATAATTTATCTGAAAAAGAAACCATATATAACTCACTAACCATAAATACAAAGGATACACTAAAATAAATGCAAGAAAAATAAAAGTAAGTTACCAAATTCTTCAAATCTACTTGTTGAGTTTCTGAGCTTAATCTTTGCTTAAAAAAAAAAAAAAAAACAACAACTTTGTTTAAAGAAAAAAAAGATGTTGTTTACCAAGTGTCAGCCAAAAGATAAAAAGGCATGGAGCATCTAAATGAGACTGTTTGTCTACAAACATACAGCTCAAAATAGAATTAGAAAGGGAACACGTTCTTAACCTTTAGTTTATTATTATCCAAAGCCAGGTCCATGTACCACCTAGAAACAGCTCCATCTCCACATCCAATTATCTCTAACTTCATCAGGAATGTTTTCACATAGTTCAAAGTGTACCCTTGAAATGTAATTTAGCATAACTCACCAGGATTTTTTTAATGATGTGACCTCAACCATAGTTCACAGATATGATGCCAATCCCACTTCAAACATTAACCCCTATGTCCCCACCCCACCCCCTGTTCTTCACACTGTCACTCTCCTTCACTGTCTTTCTATCATCATTCAGCATTCCTTCTGTTGCATTTGATGAAGACTGTAGGCTCCTTGAACATAGTTGTTACCTGAAAACTGAGTTTGCCTCTTGGTGGGTGTCAAACCAATAGGTATAACCAAGTCAGAGATCAGGAAAAGGAAGAATTTATAGCTTGCAGCAAGTAAGGAGAACACTAGGGATCTTCCCCAAAGGAGTGTCTCTCCACACAACAAAATGGAGAAGTTTTAAGCTAAGGCTACATGCATATTCAAGAAGAGGCTTGAGTAGAGGAGAAAAGAGGCAAAGGTCCACGGAGTGCAAGTCTTAGTTGACTGAAGTCAGGAGGGTCAGCATCATTCTGTCCTGAACCTGGCTGGGGGGGCCTTAATTCCTCCAGAACTCAGATGTTATTATGTATAGCCCTTACGGAGGAACTAGGGCTCTACCTTATCTCTGCACTATTGTTTGACTGCTTTTTCTCTGTTCCTGCATTCCTTTGTCTCCTTAAGATTATCAGTTTCACCACGACTTGTTCAGGGATGAGCTTTGTGTCTAGGCTTAGATCAAAAAATGGCTCAGGCCGAAATGGCTTCTCTTATGTCAAGAGAAGTTTTCTTTCTCCAGGGCCCAGTATATCTGTTTACATAGTGACTTCATCTTGTATGTCAGGGCCTCCACACTGTTAGGTATAGAGTCCAGACTTGGAGGGCAAATATTATCAAATGACTGACTCATGGCTGAATGCAGAGTGGGTAAAGTCCAGAGGGACAGAAAGAAGGAATGCTAGCGACTTGGATACAGCAAGTTTCAGAAAAGAAAGATGTAAAATAATGGAAGAAGGAACAAGATATTAGCCCCAGATTGCCTGGCTCCTTCCTCCCTGCCGGCACT